TATGTCTATATATGCATGAATATATACAATTAAATATAATGTAATTAATTATGTATAAACTTAAGTTTGTTTAGTGACATTGATGCTCCTTTCAACTTAGGATTGCAAACAAGCCGACGGACTGTCTTATGGAAGGTGAAGACCGTTTTGATGAGTGAAAATGGAAATGGCGAAGCACCAGTGAAGGGTGGGATAGATGAGAATGAAAACAGGCCAGTTAGCCCATCATGATGAATTTATCAGGAATTAACCATGATACTTTTCAGGGGGAACCGCGTGGAGGTCGACCTGGTTGGGTGTATTGCTAGCAATGGGATTCTCAGTCTCCATTACTAACAATCTCTTTACCCCCAAGTGAAGACCGTTGCCTATAGACATGAGCAATACTATAGCCAGGACAAAGTATACTGTTTCGACCATAATGCTCTTCTATTTGCTATTGCTCAGGACTAAGATGTTATGGCTCTGAATCATATAATTTCAGAGCCATATTTCACCTTTCAAAGTGAAACACAGCTATGCGAACACAAATGCTTTACGACAAAAACACAAATGGGATAGGAGTACCCAAGGAGACGACTTATATACATACAAACTCTCCCTCTGGTATAATATAACGAACATGTAAGTAAACAAACTATCAAGCACGGATCTTATTCAATTTAAAAAAAAAGTTTATGTCCCATATTTACCCGATCTGGATTCGAACTCCAGACCTGAACAACTCTTGCTATTGTTACGATAACACGCTATGGAGATATGAAATATTTTTTTTTTATTTAATTATCATTTACAAATATATTTTTCAGTCTCAATAACCAATAACGGCCGGTTCAACTAATTTCGCAATCGCAGCGTATGTAAATTGGAACGCGTACAAAACGAGAAATAATTTCAAAATACATGTTTATAAACACGACCGCGATACGGGACGGGAGCCATGCCATGTTATAATTTTCAATCTGCAATGCAATAATTTTTATTTATTATTACATCGTAGAGAAATTAGGGTATGACGAATTTTGGGAAACATTACTTTTCCCAAACATGCTTGGAAATGTGAGCATTATTTTGACAATCCTCTTCGAAATAAATCAAAACTGCCGTACTGGCCAGATAAATGCGGGCAGCGGCCGACAAAAGTTGTATGAAAATGCATATTTGTCGTGTTTTGCGGCCAGATAAATTACTATGTAAACTCATATCTGTCCTGTAATTTAAAAATGGAATGACCTTTAATAACTAATAAAATGTTTTATTTAAAATTCAAACTAGCTTGCAAATAGAAAGCTGTTTATTGAAAAAAAAAACAAGGGAACATTATGGCGCGTGAAAAATTATTATTGTTCGTTATTCGTCATTGAACTTAAAAAGTAAAATTGTGTTTTTGATTTCCGCGCGTTGTTTGAGAAAAGTACTATACAAGCCTTGGTCACAACAAGGCACTGATGAACTCACGTTTGTGAGCCTCGGCTACGCCTCGGCCCACATTTGCACATTCGTCCATCACTGCCTCAGTTGCTGGCCGCTGCAGTAATGTACTATAACAACTATGTGATCTTGGGGGGAAAGGGATTGTCATCAATTGGGGGGTTAGTCCCCATTGCTATCAACATATCCTATCAGGTCGACCTCCATACGGTTTCCCCTGAAAACCATCGTGACTAATTTATGGATGAATTCGTCACGATGGGCTAACTGACTTGCCTTTCATCCTCACTGATCATCCCTAACTGGTGTCCTGATACCGATAGCGCAGATGGTGTTACCATTCCATTATCATTCATTATAAAAAAAACTATGTGACCCCAGTATAAAATGGGCCACCCCTTTCTTTCCCGTGGGTATCGCAAGAGACGACTAAGAGAACATCAGATCGAGGGATGGGCAGCAGTGTCCCTCTTAAAACATCACTAATCCTGGATGGAGGAAGCTTATCTTCAGCAGTGGACAGCCTTGGGGGTTATACCAGTAGTTGCCACGCTTGGCAAGCGGATTGGCAACCGCAGTTAGGCTGTAGAGATGTTTTAAGAGGAACACTGTTGTCCATCCCTCGCACTCCCTTAGTCGTCTCTTATGATACCCACGAAAAAAAAGGGTGGCCTGTTCTATGCCGAAACCACGTGGTCAGTTTTTGTGTAATAACTACTCACTATATATTAAGATTAACTAGTTAATTTATTGCTCAAACATAGAAGAATTTTATACCTACATTTTATTAGTACTTTGCCTCTTGCTGGTTACACTATAAAATTAAGTATGTACGTACATTCAAAGCGTGGCTATGGCCAATCGATCCTCTATAATTGTTTACACGAGTTACTGTCGTAAAACTTTACTGATGGCCCTAGTTATTGAACATATATTAAGTATTTTACTATTGTTTCTGGTAATGATGGTCAGAAAATTAAATTAATATTTTTTTAAATGCCAACGATCACTTCAAGGGGAAGGGATTGTTAGTAATGAGATCAAATATCCCCATTACTAGCAATATACCCTGTCAGGTCGACCTCTACGTGGTTCCCCCTGGAAACCATCGTGGCTAATTCTAGTTGAATTCGTCAGGATGGGCTAACTGACCTGCTTTCATCCTCATCAGTCATCTATTTCTGGTGCCCCGTCAGTGTATACCGATAGCACAGGCGGGGTTACTATACCATTATCACCCATTATAAAAAACTCCAATGATCTGGTCATTAAGCAAGGATACTTTATTTTATGAAGAAGTAAGTAATGGGGCACAGAGACCCGAAACAATTCATACGATTTCGTTTCCTAAATTGGCCCGATTGAGGGGAAAGGGTTTGTTAGTAATGGAGACTAAGAATCCTATTGCTAGCAATATACCTAACCAGGTCGACCTCCACACGGTTCCCACTGGAAACTATCATGGTTAATTCCTGATTAATGCATTCATCATGATGGGCTAACAGGCCTGATTTAATTCTCACCTATCATCCCTCACTGGTGCTCTGCCAGCGTGTACCGTTAGCGCAGGTGAGGTTTACCATTCCATTTTCACTTATCAAAAAACCATCCCTTACTCATACCCTGCCAATTTACACCGATAGCGCAAACGGTTACCGTTCCGAAATCGTCCATAAAAAAAAATATTACCGGCCTTAAATGTTAGATTTTTTTATACCACTGAGGTAGCAAACAAGCATTCGGCCCACCTGATGGTAAGCGGTTACCGTAGCCTATGAACGCCCACAATACCAAAGGTTTTACGCACGCGTTGCCGACCCTATAGAAACCTCTTTACCCCCCTTTTGAAGAACCCCATGCTGCAGTCTCTTGGGAAAACTTCGGCAGGGAGCTCACTCCATAACCTGAGTGTTCGTGGGAGAAAACATCTCTGAAACCGCGTAAGATGTAAAATCCGTCGATTTACTAACTGACGACGTTTTAATATTAGATCCGAAACACGCGTCGCATCGTCTCAAAACAATGTAAACTATGTTGGTAGCTTGTAAACAAATTAATGTTGAAAGAATTTATAGTCAAATAGGTGATTATTATAAATTATAGATATATATATATAAATTATAGATAAAGGATATGGCCTGGGATAAAGCTGACTGGAGGAAGATGCATGAACTAGTTGCACCGACAAGAGGTAACTCTTAAATGAAAAAAAGGTGATTATTCATACGTATTGCTTTACAAATTTTAGCACAATAAAAGTCAAAACTTCATAATATTATCTTATAAATATAATATAATTTTAAATAAATAATACAAATTGTACAGAAGTCGATTGCTCGAGTACCTCTGCCCCTTTCGTGTTTCTACCGTGAAGCAGTTGTGTTTGCATGGCTGTGTTTCGCTTTGAAGGGTGGGATATCGCGTGAATTTACAGGGTACAGAGGAATAACACCTGAGTCCTCAGGAATGGCAACGCATGGGGGGTATCATGGGCGATACAGTATACTCTGTTATGTCCACAGTACTGCTCATGTCTATAGGCGACGGTTACCACTTTCCATCAGGTGGGCCGTCAGCTTGTTTGTCATTCTAAGTTGTATAAAAAAAAAAGCTATTTAAGAAAAAATAAAATGAGGGGTCCTAATAAAAACAGTAGTTGCGTTTTTTACACATGTTTTAAATACGCAATTTTTTTATACAACTTAGAATGTTAGACGGCCCACCTGATGGAAAGTGGTAACCGTCGCCTATAGACATGAGCAGTAGCATGGACATAACAGAGTATGCTGTTTCGCATATGATACACCCCATGCGTTGCCATTCCTGAGGACTCAGATGTTATTCCTATGTACCGTATAAATTCACTGCCATATCTCACCCGTCAAACCGAAACACAGCCATGCAAACACAACTGCTTCACGACAGAAACACGAATGGGACAGAGATGCCCAAGCAAACGACTTTTGTACAAAATCTCCCTCTGGTAAATAAATGACGATACTTAACGCGAACAACATTAATAACGCTTAAAACATTTTATAGGTAAATAGTACCTACATAAAATATATAATAAATAATAAAATAACGAATATGTTAAAAGTCTGTTATTCAAAACATAATATTGGATAAGAGACTTTACTCGTAAACATATTCGAAAATAGATATCCGACCGATATGGGCGATATATCGAAATGAGTGACCTCTTTTCCACCATCAGTCATCAACAGAAACATTGGTTACCATATATATATATATATATATATATATATATATATATATATATATATATATATATATATATATATATATATATATATATATATATATATATATATATATATATATATATATATATATATATATATATATATATATATATATATATATATATATATATATACTAGGAATTAATATATATTTAACATAAAACCAAAGTTAATTATTGTGTCGACCAAAGGGCGCCGAAAGACAATCTCGTTTCACATTAATCAAGGGCTAGAACAAACACTGATCGTTTAAACAAATTGACTGTAAACAAGTGGCCAGTGGCCAACTTCCCCACCACTTACCTTGTAGCAACTGAATGGTCGCTTGATACTCGGCGAGTTTCTCATCAACGTAGCCTTCTTGCGACTGGTTAGCGATGATCTCCGCAGTGGACGGTCCCCGTTCCTCGTCCTCCTCGTAAATCATCGGCCGCGGAGGAGGGGGAGGTTCTAACGGCACTCCCGCATAGTCATACTCCCGGACCGGCTCGTATGGGGAGTTATAGTAATACTCTGGACTCTGCCCCAACGTTGGAGACATAGGATATGGGATATCGAGAAACTGGGGGACGGGGAGTGTGGGCGGAAAGAATGAGGGGAGTGCAGGGGTCGGAACGGTTTAGGGGAGGGTTGGACTGGTGGGGGCGAGACGATGGCTGTAGAGTGTCTGGGGCCGGAAATTAAAGGCGGGGGGCTCGGGGCCCATGGCGAGGGGGGCGGTAGTGTAGGGGCGATGGGGGGCCGGGGGGCCGCGCGCGCCCGCGCCCCGGCGGCGGCTGCGACATCTCGCGGATTGATTCACGTCAACCCGGTGTCACGCCACCATTGACATCGCTGAAACAATAGAGAAATATAATTAAAATTTAGATAAAATAAATATATTGTATTTTAGGGATAAATAAGCTAAAGTGGCAATTGACACATAGCTCAAAAAACAAACAACTGATGAAGAAAAAAGAATGGAGACACTGTATAGGCAAACGCAGTGTAGGACGAACACTAGATGGAGTGACTACCTCAAATACATTGCAGAGAGTCAGTGGATGCAGATGAGTCAGGATCTAGAAGGCCTAGGTTCAGCGGTGGACAGATAATGGCTGAGATAGTGACGATGATGAAATAAATACACAACTGTATTTCCTGTTTTTTTTTATGTGTGATAATAGAATGGTAACCCCGCCTGCGCTATCGGTATACACCGGCGGGGTACCAGTTAGGGATGATAGGTGACAATGAAAGGACAGGTCGGTTAGCCTATCGTGACGAATTCCACTAGAATTAATCACGATTGTTTCCAGGGGAACCGCGTGGAGGACGACTTGATAAACTGTGGTAAACGTAACAATTAACGTGGTAACATTGCGCTGAGGGGAGAAACGGGATTGTTAGCAATGGAGTTTGACAGCCCCATTGCTAACAATATACCCTATTAGGTCGACCTCGACGTGGTTCCCCCTGGAAACCATCGTGAACAATTCTTGTTGAATTCGTCACGATGGGCTAGCTGACCAGCTTCGTCCTCACCTTCACTTCGTCTCTCGCTGGTGCCCCACTGGTGAGTGAGTATATTTGAATCTATCGTGACAAAAGGCGAACCATTGTTCACACCTAAATTATATAATACTGCACTAAACAGGTTTAGATTATCCATTAGCCAGTGTAAGCAACTACCTAGGACACACCCATCAACAATTTTTTTAAGAAAGTCTTTTTAAGTGAATTTAATTAATAAATATGTTTTTTAATTTTTGTATTTAACAAACTATTAAAGAAAATATTATTACTTTTTTTTTTTTATAAAAAAAAATTATCATATTTTGTGATATATTACACATAAAGTAGTTTTTTATGAGTGATACAGGTGAATTGCCTAGAGGTCCCAATACAGTTAATTCGGTCCTGTCTTAAATTATATCGATTTTTTACGGTGTTTCTGTAAAAAAATATACCTACTGCATTGTCTCAGTCAAGTCAAAGCTATGTTGATGAACCCGATCAGAACACATCAGCAACAGTCTTGCCATCTGTGTGCCAAAATGATACAGTAAATGATGTCTCTAACAACTCACAAATCCAGTCGAATGGTACTCTTAATGTTAATAATAAACCAATGTCTTGTAATGTTGATGGTAATCCTACTATGAGAACAAGGTCTGGACGTGTCGTCCGACCACCTGTTAAACTTAATTGTTAATTTAAAATTATACTGAATAGAATGTGAGCATTTGCTCATTTATATAAAATTCTTTTTTATTTATATAAAATGATTATCTATGGTCGAGGACCAAGAAGAGATCATCTGTGGGACAGATCGAAACAAAAATAAAAAATGTATCACCTGTCAGATTTTAATAAATAAAACTACTGGACTGGATAACTGGATAACTCATTTCAATAATTTCTCATTTAATAATCAAAAACACCCACAATCTCCTTTTTTTATGTCTATTGAAAACTATTACTACAGTATTAACACGACATACGCTCTTTTCATTAAAAAGAACCATTAAATTCGGTATTCTCTAAGACATCGATTAAGCTATGCGATCAACAATATAATAATAAAAGAATAAAGTCCCAATAAATTTCCCGTATTTATATATAAGTTTTGAAAAGAATAAAAACACAGTCCACAGTAACTCTACGATCTTAAGTCGGTTAAAAATCATTCGTACAGGCCTAACCAAACATTTTTACGTCAAAGTGGCAATTAACACATTACGCCGCGCCTTGGCCAGACCATCGAACTAATATGCTCTGTTTCTGTTGGTCCGCACTGAATAGGTTACGGCCTAACTGCGAGGATTAGGGTTGCCAACTCTCCCAGATAGGACGGGGGAAGGGACTGTCAGTAACGCGGGCTACCAGTGTCATTGCCAGCAATATACCCCTGTTTTTTTTTTATGACTGAAAATAGTATGATAACCCCGCCTGCGCTCACGGTATACGCTTGCGCAGCACCAGTGAAGGGTGATAGATGAGAATGAAAACAGGCCAGTTAGCCCATCATGATGAATTCATCAGGAATTAACCATGATAATATCCATGGGCATGGAGTACCGCGAGGAGGTCGGAAAAACTTGTTGGGTATATTGCTAGCAATGGGATTCTCAGTCTCCATTACTAACAATCCCTTTCCTCCAACTCTCCCAGATTGGACGGGGGAAAGGACTGTTAGTAACGCGAACTACCAATATCATTGCTAGCAATATACCCTTGTCAGTCGACTTCCAAGTGGTCCCTGGAAACCACCTGAAAACCCGGCATGTACAGCATGATGGAGCAAGGAAAAAACCTTACGTACTAACAAACTTGGATTTTTTATGTAAAAAGTTTTATAATTTTGTGGTGAAAAATAGACAAATATTAGATACTGCTCTAAAACAATATATATATATATATATATATATATATATATATATATATATATATATATATATATATATATATATATATATGTAAACTTAAAAAGCGCACCTGTATATTTATGAACATATATTTATGTCTATATATGCATGAATATATACAATTAAATATAATGTAATTAATTATGTATAAACTTAAGTTTGTTTAGTGACATTGATGCTCCTTTCCACTTTGGGTGTTGCTGGAAGAGAACTCTTTTAGAGTTACTCGCCTTTGTACATTTGATTACCGCTGTCATATTATTTATGTATAATTGGTGCGTAAAATATAGTAATAAATAAATAAATAAATATTTTTTTAACCCCACCTCGATAAAATTCTTAAACATAACATTCTCTGTAATTGTTTGTATCTATAATAAGTTTACTATTGTAATCTTTTGGAGGAAACAATAAAGAGTATCTATCTATCTATCTCCCGGGTCCTTTCGAGAGTTGGCAACCCTAGCGAAGAAGTATACGATCATATTAACCAGACGCCCGTTCGCCCTACAGTTTTATTTGAGTTAAATAGTTCCACGGTGGTACGAGAGTTTGGTGTTAAATTCGGCATGCCGATAACACATCGAGTGTTTATAGCGAATCGAAAAACAGGTGATTCTCGATTCGTCCGTATTCTTTGTAATTATAAAAATATATATTTCTCAAACATGCTTAGAAGTGTGAGCATTATTTTGACTATCTTCTTCGAGATAAATCAAAATTGTCGTACTGTCCAGATACATGCGGGCAGCGGCCGGCAAAAATTGTATGAAAATCCATATCTGTCGTATTTTGCGGCTAGATAAATTAATATGTAATCTCATATCTGTCCTGTAATTTAAAAATGGAATGACCTTTTACTTCGGAACATGGCTACCAAGGAGGTAACTAATACAAACAAGGTTTTATTTAAATTTCGAACTGGTTTTCAAATAGAAAGCGATTTATTGAAAAAAAAAAACAGAGGAACATTATGGCGCGTGAAAAATTATTATTGTGCGTTATTCGTCATTAAACTTAAAAACTAAAATTGTGTTTTTGATTTCCGCGCATTGTTTGAGAAAAGTACTATACAAGCCTTGGCTACAACTAGGCTTTGATGGACTCATGTATGTGTGCATCGGCTACGCCTCAGCCCACATTTGCACGTCCGTCCATCTTACTCCGTCTGTCCATTGCTGGTCGCTGCAGTAATGTACTATTAAAATAAAACTATCAGATTTTTAGTATCCATAGTTTTTTTAAGCGACTTAGAATGACAAACAAACTGACGGCCCACCTGATGGGAAATAGTTAACGTCACCTGTACACATAAACAGTGCCATAGACATGACAGAGTACACTGTTTTTATTGGTGAATTAAATCAAGGTGATATAATTCATGTTCAAAATTAAAGGAAAAATGGTTAAAGAAATAAATTTGTCAGCTATGTTTTTTTTTTGTGCAATGAACATTAAAAAGGTATCCAGACACGATCAACTAAAAGTGAACTTGTTCTTTTAAATAATTTTTGGGCATTCAGTGTTATGATGGAAATTAAACCCTATATTGCTAGCAATTGAGTTGCTAATCCTTATTACTATCAATCTCTTCACCCCCACAACTAATCCTCCTCTGTATCCTGTAATTTTACTGCCCTATCCCACCTTTCAAACTAAAACGCAGCCATGCAAACACAATTGCTTCACGGCAGAAACACGAATGGGACAGAGGCACACAAGCAGACGGCTTCTGTAGAAAGTTTCTCTCCGGTATACTGTATATATTCTTACGACTATAATCTCCAGTGGGGTAGACAGAAACATTTTGTCAACAGTTACCGTTATGGTGAACGTAACCACTGGAAACGTCCGTATTTTGCTATAGATAGGGTAATAATTATAGTATTTTTTTTTATTTGAAACAATACGTTACAACATAGTTTATAATATTAATAAAACAGGGGAAAGAAGGGATTGTTAGTAATAGGGATTAGCGGCCCCATTGCCTGCAATATACTGTGTCAGGTCGACCTCCACGCGGTTACCCCTGGAAACCATCGTGAATTGTTGTTAATTAATTCGTCACGATTGGAGTGGATAGTTAACGACTGACATGACGATGATTGTCATTCAATTCAAATTTTCGATTAAATTCATTTAGTTATTTGGACTTTCATTTCAAACGGCCAATGTTTAATGACTTGAAACCTTCCAGACAGATTGCTTACATATGAATACAAAAGGAATTTATCGAGCAAGAATGAATGGAGATGTCGGTAGGGACCGCTCTAGGCGGACATATGTCGACCAAATAGGCGACATGCTGAAGAAGGGTCAAATTAAAAGTACCCGTAACCGGCGAGCGTGTATGAAAAGATTGATGAATGTGGAGGAAGCGAAAGAGGTTTGTTTGAATCGAAGCTTTCGATTGTTTGATTCCATTGT